TAATACATAACGTTATAGTACACTTTTATTATTAGTTACATAACATCACGCCTTTTATCCTCGAAAGGGTGCACATTATCTACGGCACTTAATACTACTGTACAATGTACCTCTAATACCCACTTTTCACTTTTTATGCTATGAGTTCCACGTAGTAGGGGGTGAGCCTATTGCCATATACCGGGCACATTTCCAGACTCCGTGCTACTACTGAGAATTTTTTAAAAACTCAGTAATACTTTGCCTGGCCCAGGAATCGAACCCGAGACCCCTTGTCCGGTAGTCGCTATCGCGCGACCACCCGGTTAACGAGGCAGTCGAGAGAGCAGTATTATTATTTATTTATTTAATAAAAGGTACACGGTATGCCATACAATCAAACGTGTTGTCCAACCAAACTATATATAAATATGTAGTTTGACTGTAGGATTTTTTTATAGCATAATCCGGCAAATTGAGCAGACGGATCACCTGATGGTAAGCAATGGCGCCGCCCAAGGACACCTGAAACATCAAGGCGTTACAAGTGCATTACCGGCCTTTTGGGAATTGGGAATTTGAGGATTGGGGAGATATAGATAGAGATTGGGGATTATAAAGGCTAATTGAAAATGTTACATTATTCTCTTAATATTGTAGATAAGAAAGGTTTTTCTATTTTAATAGTTGCAAAATAATTTACTTTAATTTTATAATAACTTTCCGGACCACGAACTTCAACTAAAAGTCAGATGGTTACCCTACTTTCATAATATTCAGACAGCTAAATGGTTTTAAAACAAGTTTTCATCGCGGTTCCGCCTGTGTTGGTACAAAACATTTTCGCTTTTAATAACTACGTAGCTTAGTCTAATTAGTGTTTGGAGTTAGCAGCTCTAGGTTTTCCTAGAACTATATCTATGTGGAAACATTAAAACTAGTTACTTTAAAGTTCATTAACTTGTAAGTGGTAAAACATTATGGATGTTATGTTTTCTACGTGCCAGGGTGGAAGGATTTATCATTCTTAATGGATTCTCTAGTGTATTGTTCAGTGCATGGAATATTTTGGGTCATCAGTAATTACATTAAAGGGACATCTAGAACCATTGGTGAAGTACGCATAGCAGAAGATGAATGTCAAGCTTCGGATGAGAGCAGAAAAATAAAAAAATAAAATAGTAGTAAAGTAGTAGGTTAATGGAAGAATATCATGAGTTTGCCTGAAGGAGAGAAAATAAATGGACGATAGAGGATTATAGGATTCATTCCAGAGCTGTTTTTGACTAGTCTAGCTGGGAGTAAATCACTTGCTCGCCGTCCACAGACCCGTGCATTTAACACAGTCATAAAAACGTTTTTGGAACAAAATCGATACTAACGAATAGTTTAAGTAATCATAAAAGGAATACGGCAGTAAGACCCAATAAATTCCTTCCTGACCAATTCTTCTTTCTTCTTTAAACAAACGTTGCCCCACATTATTTTCTCCAGTGTCGTGGAAACTCCAGTGTCGTCGCATTTACAAACATACAAGTTCACATACACATGACTCTGAAACAACAATTTTTGGACCACACAAAGAGTTGTTCTGTCCGGGAATCTAACGCGCAATACGTTGTGCGGCAGCCAGTTGCCCAGCCACTGCACCATCTCCGAAGTCAAGCAGCACTAAAGTTTAATTTAAACGCAGTTCGTTGATAAACAATGGCAACACCACTTCTACTTACGGCCATTATCTATAACCTATCTATCTGTAGATTTTCTTACCGAGATAGAATTTTGACATATTTTGTATGGAGCGTATGTGAAAAGAAAAAGCCGGTTAACCTATACAATAGTTTCTACGAACTTACAAACAGAGATGAAATTCAAAATTAAACAAAACACGACCAACATTCAGCTTGAATCTGCAAATTAGACGAATTTGCAAACTGCATAATGCGTTCATAGTTTCCCAACATCAATTCTCAACCATATCCTACAATATTAGAGTTGACTTTAGTTTGTGTGTTATTTGGTAGTTGTTATGTTTTGTATAGTTACTGAACTATGTATGTTGAACTATACAATCTCTGAACTGTTATTATAAACTACTGGAACTGGCTTACAAATGAACAGAACTTCTGTTATTGTGTACCTAATTTAGTAATTGAGTGTCCAAAATTACCATCTATTAACTAGATACTTGATCACGTTGTAAAATAGTCGTAAAACCACTGCTTGTAGGTCGCATTTCTGGCAATGGTTGGAAACAAAAACAACAGAATGCCGAAAATGTAGATATTTCTATGGCACCATCGTTGCATCATGCTATTATTCCCAGAGTTACACCCAGAACCAGAACAACAATCTGTCGATCACAAGAATCTTGTGATCGACAGATTGTGGTGTCATGTGTATGTGAAATTGTATTTTTGTAAACACACCATCAATACAGGAGAAAATCGTTGGTCGTGTGGGGCAACGTTTAAAATAAAAATAGACTTAAATGGTGTACCTACCATAAGGAGTATATCTTTCTATCCTTTTTTCAGAATTAATTTTTAAGTCTTCATTAAAACAACGCTTGCGTTGTGTTTCGTCGTCTAAGTGAGGTTACCGGATGCCCAATTACCCTCCCCCCCTTTCCCCAATCCCTGAATCCCCAACAATCCTCAAATTCCCAATTCCCAAAAGGCCGGTAACGCACTTATAACGCCTTGGTGTTTCGAGTGTCAATGGGCGGCGCCGATTGCTTACCATCAGGTGATCCGTCTGATCGTCGGTTTATTCCATAAAACCTGCAATAAGGAGTATAAGACATACTAAATTAACTAAAAATCGCGGGTTACTCACGTGAATATACTGAGAAAAGTTCTACTAGTTTCAAACTACAGAGGGGTTCTTCCTCATGAGCAGCGTGCGCGGTCGCGGCGATGTCGCGCAGCCTATAGTATAGGTATTCACGTGAGTAACCCGCAATTTTTATTTCATTTAGTATGTATGTATTGACAGCACAAAAAAACAAACACAACAAAAAAGTTAAATCACAATTTAATCATTCCGAACTAAGAAAACAATATTGTCCATCATTTTTCACACACAAATTTTTCATACCAATCACAAATGAACCTTGTAGCGTTTCATTACAGTTCAGTTTACAACTCAGTGTGGGTTGAGGGGAATTTCTTAAGTACAGCGTGATATAAGTTGTAGAAAGCGTATACTGATACACTGATGATCACGAATAAGGATCCTCCGAAGACGAAGCTAAGGAAATTTCCATCTATCATAGTGGTTCCTTGGAGGCTGGTCGCCTGGCCTTGGAACAGCTCCTTGGTGCCAGTACCAGCTGCCTTCCGCTCCTCCATCATCTTCTTCATTACTGACAGTCTTTCCTTTAACTCGTCTATGGATTCCACCATGTCTTCTGAAACTGAAGGAATGTTGGGTTAGGTTTCATAGTGTTTTTTTTATTTCGTTCAGCGATCTGCTGTTGAGGTACATGTTCAAAATACATAGAATAATGACCATGATTTGTAATGTACATACATAACATATGTACATAACATCACGCCTGTTATCCCTAAAGGAGTTGGCAGAGGTGCACATTACGGCACTTAATGGTACTGAACAATGTAACACCCACTTTTCACTACTTATGTTATGAGTCCCACATGTAATAGGGGGTGAGCCTAATGCCATATACCGGACACATTTTCCAGACTCCGTGCTACTACTGAGATTTTTGTTAAAAACCCAGTAATACTATGCCCGACCCGGGAATCGAACCCGAGACCCCTTGTTCGGCAGTCGCACTTGCGACCACTCGGCCAGCGAGGCAGTCTTTTAGTTATTATATTAGATTATGTGCCCCTTCGCCGACCCTCCGACCAATAAAGGTCAAGCAATGTACTGTCTTTACCCTTATTCTAAGTTAGGATCCAGGTTTAACAGTAGCCTACAATTCAACTAATGGAAGCCTAAAGTTAGACACGTCAAAATAAATTAGTGACGGCAGACCGAAACCGACCCTAACTTGAACTTTAACTTGAAACTTGATTTATATAAATTAACTTGTATTTTGTTCTGTTACTAGGTTGATTTTTTTTAAGGGGAGAAAATCATCGAATGACTGCTCCCGCCTGGGTGAGGCGGGAGGGAGTGTCAGACTCTTACTGACTAAAAACCACCCCGTTCCTTCTCCTGCACGTCGAGCCGTAGCCCCGGTTACCCGTTAGGTTCTCCGCGACTTGTTAAAACATAACAATTTTGATTCCTAAAGGTACTTGAAGAGGTGTTAGCTTAATGTGATATCCCATCGTTCAACGTATGTCAAAATTAATTTAGTTAATAACAAATACTTGTTGTTGTTTTACAATACATAATTATTATACACAACAGTACATAGGTTCAAGCTTTATAATAGAACGTAGGCTAATAAACAAAGAAAACGTATGTCTATTGATACACGAATATTGAATAAAAAATAAGCATATAAGTAGTTTCATTTTAACTCAACGAATTATTATCAACGCAAGCGGCAAAACGATTTTAAAACGAATACTTTTTATAATAAAGATTAGAATACAATGACAAGATCACTAAAATTTTAAACAATAGCTCGTAAAGAGCCTGCTTTGTGTTTCTATTCATAATACTCATAAGCTACAGGTTAACAACCTATTGAAATGCCTCATTTATTATAAAGAACACAGACTAAAGATATTAAAACAAAGAAATCTCCTAATTAACTTAGAATAGACTATAAAAAAGTAGTTTTAATACGTATATTAATAAAGGCAAGATTCATTTTAGCAAAGAAAATATAATAAAACACAAAACAAGACATTCTTCTCCCGGTTTTAGTATTAGATGTAAACAAGAAACTCGGATTTTCTTCACTTAAATTGGATTAGTGTTAATGTAGACTAGATATAAGACATTTAGATTATATTCTTACCTTCAGGATCACGATCAGAGTTGCCTTTTACCATTTTTAAAGATATTTTGCACTCACTGAAGCTAATGTTTTGTGTTTACTGTTGCAATGTATCCCGAAGGGTCACGGCGGGAGAAAGATGGCCGCCACGCATGCGCACTGCCGCGGCCGGGAAGACTCGGGAATATTGATCGTGTGTCGGCAGGATTACCTGGAATTTCAGTCTAGATTTGACCTGCCCGTATTTCGAGCTGTTTGAGTTGCAATGTTTAGACATTGCAATTTATTGAGGTTTACAATTTACGTGATTTCGCTTAATTACAATATTTTCACAATGTAATTTATTTTTTGTAGGCAAACATTTTTTCTTATTGCATTGTTGCCATTGTTGGTCATGTGTAGACAGCAGAGTAGGATATATTTTCGCCACCCGTATACTTCACGTGGGTGTCGTAGTTGCGACTAAAGAACTACACATTTGACTGAGACCAGGCTACCTGCCCGGTATACCAGAACCATTTAAAACTGCGATATTAAACCCACCTACCGTAGATCTTGGAGACTCTTAATTGTCAAATCTTATACTATTATATAAAGCGGAAGAGTTTATTTTTTGTTTGTTTGTTTAAACGCGCTAATCTCCGTAACTACAAGTCTGATTTGAATAATTCTTTGTGTTGGATAGCGCATTTATCGAGGATGGCTATAGGCTATAAAACATCTCGTTACGACCAATAGGAGCTGAGCAGAGCGTGTGAAACCACGCGAAAGTACTAGTGACATATAAATAGCGAAGCATAAAAAAATATACCAAACATGACGTTCCCTATCCGACCTTGTGAGTATACTTAACTATTGTTCAAGTCAGCAGTTATTTCAGTACACTGCGTTTGCTTTGAAAGATTATACTTCATAATATCAGCTTACTCACTTGCGTGCGATCGTTTTGAACTCAGAGTAAACTTTGAGTTGGAACAAAAGAACCGCTTTCATTATGAACTTAGTCTCACGGAAGATAGAACTAAAAGTTAAAGTCGTGTTGAGGACTTTTGCAAACAGGATTAGGTAACTTTGATTGTAATAAAATGTTAATTCTAGATAATATACATCAGTCGAGTACGTATAAAAATGTGAACAGACAGATAACACAACATAACTTTTAAGTTCGGCACGAATGGGCCGACTCGACCAGAGTGATACCACGGCCTCATAGACAACCGACGTGAAGCAACGCTTGCGTTGTGTTTCGTCGTGTGATTGAGGTTATCGGTGTAACCGGTGTAACCGTGCACTTGTAACGCCTCTGGTGTTCTGGGTGTACATGGGTGACGCCGATTGCTTACCATTAGGTGATCCGTCTACTCGTTTACCGGCTTATGCCATAAAAAAACATCACGCCTTTTATCCCCGAAGGGGTAGGCAGAGGTGCACACAGAATTGAGACCCACTTTTCACTATTTATGTTATGAGTCCCATGTTAAAGGGGGTGAACTCCGTGCTACTACTGAGTTTTTTTTTAAAAACCCAGTAATAAACAAATAAAACTCCAAAATCAAAACAAAACACTTATAATATCAATATCAGAGCCTATTAATAAAATAATTTAAACAGAGGTAACAGTTTGTACAATCCAGTCGGTGTAGGAGGCGACCTTGGTGCTGACACCAGGGTAGACAGCATCAGCACATCCACGGCCCCAGGAGACGATACCGACCAGGATGCCATCGTAGTAGAGGGGACCGCCAGAGTCACCCTGGCAGGCGTCCTTGCCACCGACATCGAGAAGACCAGCGCAGATCATGTTCTCAGTAACTCTTCTAGATGGGAAAAGACTGGCGTAGCGAGCAGCGCAGATGTCGTGGTTGATAGTGTAGATCTGAACGTCGCGGAGGATCGCTGAAGCTAGGCCGCCTTGCTGTTGAGGTTAAAATAAAGAGATGAGAGATTGAAGGAATGTTAATCTTTTGATTAGCTGAGATACTATCCACTATAAGAATTTACGTGATAATGATTTTCATAGGGTTTAGCTTGTAAAATGTAGTGAAGTAAGTACACCTCACAATAGACTTTAGTTAAGCTTTAGGATTAAAACTACATAAACGATAGAGCAATTTAAAATAATTGAAAATACTTTTTCTTATGAAACTGCTCATAATTAGCGAAATGACAATCATTTCGCTAATCTGAACATATTAAAAATTTACATTCGGTCAGGGAATAAGAACAAAGTTTATTATAATAATTCTTTTGTAAACTACTTTTCAAAAAACCGACTTCAATCCCCTCTGTTTTTTGATGTTGGTTAATTAATATACCTACTCGTAAGTGTGACAAACACTTTTCTGAAAACCGCATCAAAATCGGTTCAGGTAATCGTGAGATAGTTGCATACAAACATACATACACACATGTCAATCTGAGAACCTCCTTTAATATATAAAACTAGCAGACCCAACAGACATTGTCCTTCATATCCATTTGAATGTATAAACAAAAACTCATTCAAATTAGTTCAGCTGTTTAGGATAACCTAAACTGACTGCAGCGCCATCTGCCGGGCTGATTTGTGAATCTAAACCATTCCCAGATCCCCTTGAACACACACAAAAAATTTCATCAAAATCGGTCCAGCCGTTTGAAAGAAGTTCAGTGACGTACACACTCACAGAAGAATTATATATATAAAGATAATCTTCAAAAAACTACTTACCGAAGTCGCACCCCATCCAGAATGCACAACAGGTAGATTATCAGGGAGTTCAAAGCCTTGGGGCACAAGTGGGACTTGTTGGATGCGGTCGCTGTAGACCAGAGCTGAAGACAAGTGGATGACACTGATGTCACCGTCCATCTGGTTACTGCCATAACTGGGGTGGTTGACAATGCGGTTGATTGAGACAACGACGCCACCTGACGCACGGTTTGAGGTACCCGCTCTGATACGACGGTTGCGGGTGTTAAATCTGGAAATTAATGACATAACTATGATTTAAATGTGCCAACCCAGAAACCCAGAAACCCAGAAACCCAGTGTCAGACTGCACCAGACAATCTACAAGCAGAGAGAGATGGCGGGAGATTGTTAGGAAAGCTGTATCGGCCTCCAACACAAATACGGCTGCCTCAACGTGACCACGACCGCTAGTTGGACAATGGGAAACCCAGTGTCAGACTGCACCAGACAATCCACAAGCAGAGAGAGATGACGGGAGATTGTGAGGAAAGCTGTATTTGCCACCAACATTAATACGGCCGCCACAACGTGACCACGACCGCTCAGCCAAGAGCGAAACGACAGAGAGAAGAAGTTGGACAGATATGAAATAAGTAATCTCTCATTTTAACCAAACGAACTCTTTATTTAGCTGTACTTCTGCGTAGGATTTATGGTTTCACGTATTACTCGCGTCACGTCACGGGTAATTTGACTAGTTTCCAGCTAAGCTATGAACAGTACTAGTTAAGTAAAAACTACGCAGCATTTATTGCGCTAAAAATCACTCCAATTTGTCGTCTATCCTTGAATCAAGATTCCTCTTTAACAGATTTCAATCAAAGTCTAAACAATTTAAAATAACTTATTGAAAATATTTAAGACTGCCTCGTTGGCTGATTGGTCGCAAGAGCGACTGCCGGGCAAGGGTACTCGGGTTAGATTCCCGGGTCGGACAAAGTATTACTGGATTTTTAAAAAAATCTCATTAGTAGCACGAAGTCTGGAAATGTGCCCGGTATACGGCAATAGGCTTACCCCCTATTACATGGGATTCTTAAGATAAGTAGTGAAAAGTGGGTGTTACTTCTGTGTGCACCTCTGCCTACCCCTTCGGGGATAAGAGGCATGATATTATGTTATAGAAAATCTTGTCAAATACTTACATTCCAGAGAAGCAATGTGCAGCAGACACGACGAATCTGGTGTTGAGGATACTAGCGGCACATGACTGGCCCCAGATGATGCCGGTGCGGCTCTCAACCTGGACGATGCTGGGGTAGTTCTCGATCGTGGTTGGGTTGCCGCCCACGATGCGGTTTGGGACAGCGTTGGTGCAGGCTAATGCTGGAATTTAGAAATGGGTTTTGAGACACAGGGTTTCTTGCTAATGATGTAGTTGGTCTTTATTTTCAATTAACTAGGCTACTCATCAAGAAATTGGAACATTATTATCAAGCCTTTAACTGCCAACAAAAATTGTTAAAGGCTAATTCTCCGCTAGCGTCTGTCATCATTGTCTGACACGGCATCCAATATGTTAATGATCCCTTTTGTTTTATTATTTCTTGAATATTTTCTTAATATTTTTGAGTTCTCTATTCAGATTTTATTCCTTCACTCATTTCAAAATTAAATACACTCACTCCAGTGATTTCGGTAACTTTGCATCGCATAGCATCATTATCAAAAATAATATTATTATTTGTAAATGGCTACTAACCTGCTACCAAGAATAAGACACACGCCAGCTTCGCCATTATGTCAACCAATCGTACCTAATGAATTAATTCACGTGAAGCCGTTTTTATAATTAAGCAATGTTTAGGGATCCGTCATAATTATTGTAAATCATTTTGACCTGCGAATGAATTTTCTCCATCAATTATTATCTTTTTCGGCTGACACACGTAATTATTTGACAAGGATGTCTACTAGTTTCAAGCCTAATTAGAGGCTCATATTCATGAGCAGCATTTCGCGACCCTAGATGCGGCCCGATGCCCCGACTGGCTGAAACATAGTAATTAATTTAGAATGTCTCACGTAAGTTACGATATAAATTTTCTCCAATGGTATTTCGTTTCGAGCACACACAATGAAGATTAAAATTATAAACAAGTTGGAATTTGGCAAATTGGTGTAAGTAGTTTCAAGTTAAATATATAGCTCTGAACCAAAGTTTGAATAAGTTAGATTGCCTTAACTTTAACAATAGCTTCATTAATCAGACCAAGTCAATTATTGACTCATGACTATTCATCAGAGAAAACTTTCAGTGAGAATATCTAAATAAAATATACAACAAATTATTGTTCCGATTTTTTATAAAAACTTGACACTGAATAGTAGTCTTGTCAAAACGCATTGAGTAAGCGTGGTGATTAATGCTCAAACCTTCTTCGTGCGAGAAGAGGCCTTTGATCAGCAGTGGCCTCTTATAGGCTGTTGATGATGAGTAGTCTTGTTACATTAAGAAGGCAGTAAAGTAAAATCTATAAATTTTCGAGAAGTTTATAAAAATAGGTTCATTCATAAATACATAACATCCTTTTATCCCCGAAAGGTCAGGCAGAGGTGCACACAGAAGTAACACCCACTTTTCACTATTTATGTTATGAGTACCATGTAATAAGGGGTGAGGCTATTGCCATATACCGGGCACATTTCCAGACTCCGTGCTACCACAGAGATTTTTTTTTAAAACCCATTAATTCTTTGCCCGACCCGGGAATCGAACCCGAGACCCCTTGCCCGGCAGCCGCACTTGCGACCACTCGGCCAACGAGGCAGAGTTCTTTATATCCCACACGTATTATGTGAAGCGGTGGGCAGAAACCAGTTACTAATAAATAAACAAATACAACAATACTATGAATCTTATTTTAATATTCCTTTTTTTTTTTTTTTTTTTTTATAATTGATGGGGCGACGTTTGACCACTATCTCACCTGTTGGTAAGCGATGATGCGGTCTACGTTGGAGCACGTCGTCCCATAAGCAACCTATTCACTCGGGCCTTGAAGACTCCCAGGTTATACCCTTCAGGAAATACAGACTCTGGCAAAGAATTCCACTCTTTAGCAGTACGCACAAGGAAGCTTGAAGCAAAGCGCTTCGTGCTTTGCTTCAAGCTTCCTTTATTGTACTAAATTCCGTTATTGTACGGAACCAATGTACGATACGTATCTCCAATACCTGTTTACATTCGTTAATCTCAGTGTCAGAATTATTTACAACCTAGATTTAGTGATTGCGTGGCCAGTAGTGTTGTTTGTTAATTATTTTATGGCTATTAATTAGAACGGATTATATTTAACGAAGATTATAAATAATAGATAAATAATTCGTAGATTCTTAATATTATGTTTCTAGACATTTTGTGAAGGTATCTAAGACATTCTTACATTCTTAAGGTGTTGACAATATCTTCATTTGGTAATGAAACTTTTGATTCGAGAAAAGTATAATAGTTACTAGCTCTTGCCTGCGACTTCGTCCGCGTAGAATATGATTCCCGTTTTATCCCATGGGAGCATTTAACGACAAAAGTAGTCCATCCCTGCCTGATTACCAAATGTTATCACAATCCGTTCAGTACTTTCAACGTAATTAAAGGACAAACATACATACAAAAAAACTTACACATATTTTATAATATTAAGTGTGATTTGGTGTCAAAATGATTACTAGGTTTACACTTGGATAGAATAAATGGTACGATTTATTACTGTTAAACTATTTTAGTATGAAATTTTAAAATTATCTTTGATGTAGACGGAGACGAACAGGGTTTTTTTTAAGTGGGGAAATCATCGAATCACTTCTCCCGCCTGGGTGAGACGGGAGGGAGTGCCAGACTCTTACTGACTAAAAACCACCCCGTTCATACTCCTGCACTTCAAGCCGGAGCCCCGGTAACCCGTTAGGTTCTCCGCGGCTCCGTATCGGCATCAGCCCTATTGGGCCCCATCAGCAGACGAACAGGGATAGTTTATCAATAGCCTATCAAACAGCAGGAAATAACATTATACCGTAGGTAGTATTTGTTTATTATATTGTAATACGTCTATTTATTAATCTTTTTATTGAACATGAGATAAGAATATCCTAAATAGGTGCCTATAGTTTCCAATGCTAGTTCATTGTACGTACCCAGTTTTTGTATATCATGATTTGTTATCGAAACCTTTGTTTTGTATCAACAGTTTATCTAGGTTAATCTTTTCTGGGTTTTCCAACGTAAGTCGGGGTTTAACTGTACCTCGAATCTGACTGATCCGACCATGATTCATCACACCTTAAATTATAATATGAGGCTAGCTTGATAAAGCAACAGTGTCTACTATCATTAAGATCGCTTCTAATGGGGGCTTTGCACCATCTGGTAACCAAATATACAGTATTTTTAGTAAAAGCACCAAGAGATTTTTTTATCCAATCACAGCGGCTGTCAAATATTGAACGTCCAATAGTGTGACACTTGCAAAGTCCCAATTGGACGAAAAACTAAAGTTTCAAACTAGCGCCATTTAGTGAACAACATAGCCCCCATTGGCCTATCTGGAAGTCATTGGGGGAGGCCTATGTTCAGCAGCTGTAGCCAAATGCCATTTAGCGCTTGTCTACATGTAGAATAGAAAACCAAATTATATGGAATTGACGTAAATTTTGACACTTGTCAGTGTCATCCCCATACATTTTGATTTCTACTCTCTCTGTAGACAAGCGCTAAAGTGGCGTTTGGCTAAAAGCACAGAAGTAGTTTGTGGTGGTTTTGAAAACTTTTATTGATACTCTATCTACTGCAAATAGTAGTTTCCAAGAATAAAAAAAAAAGCATATATACGGTCGAATTGAGAACCTCCTCCTTTTTTTGAAGTCGGTTAAAAATAGTCACAATTCCTCTTCGACTAAGAAAGATGAAACGAACTGTCAAATTATCTTCGGTATTCCCGTATGTAAGTAGGTAAGTCGCCACTTAGACAGCTTGGAATACCTAGATTCTGCTGGACAACAAAGCATTATACCCCGTCCACGCGCCTGATGTTTGTAACAAAAACTAAACACAACAAATAAGTCCCAAACATCGATGTGTAGCCTCGTCCATACGCTTGGCAAACAACAAACAGCAAACACCTACATGTGGATGGGTGTTTATATGTGTTTGCCTGTTCCTGTTTGTGTTCGCCACTATTCGGGATCTTTGTCGAACACAAACACAGATCAAAGGCTGTTCGGCAAACAGTTTGCGATGTATCCACAGGTTTGATACACATTGATGTTCGGGACTTTATTTGTTGTGTTTGGTATTTGTGGCAAACATCAATCGTGTGGATGGGGCATGGGATACATCGCAAACTGTTTGCCGAACAGCCTTTGATCTGTTTGTGTGTTCCTCACTGTTCGACGCCGATGCCGAACAGTGGCAAACAAGAATAGGCACACACATACAATCACCCATTCACATGTTCGTGTTTACTGTTTGTTGTTTGCCAAGCGAGTGGACCTGGCATTACGTAGGTATATTATTTGAAATATTGACGCATTAATTTTAAACGACAATTTATCAATTGATGTAATAATATGACTCCTAATCTCGTTATCACCAACAATTGCATATTACCTATACCTACCTATCTCTGGTCTTAAAATATTCGCATTACCTATTTATCTGGTCCCATGTCACTCGTGCGGATTAATTTTACTAAGCTTTTCAAATCTGTAATTCATCTTTAAGCATATTAACGACACTCCCTTCCGCCTCACCCAGGCGGGAGGAGTCATTCGATGATTTTCCCCCCTTAAAAAAAAAAAAGGCAATTGCGTAGTATTTTTTTATGGGATAAGCTGATAAACGAGCAGACAGATCACCTGATAGTAAGCAACTAAGATAGTAACTCTTGTTGTTGTAACTCTTTTGGTGTTACAAGTGCGAAGCCACTTCCCCCCGACGAGAAGTAATTTTTTTTCTTATATTTATTCATTTAATTAAATCTTTAGGTCACATGTCATAAAGACCATGCCAGACCCATTATTACGTAAACAGATTTAACAAAACTTACATTAACTTACATACTGCTCTTATTTACTATTTTATATAAAAAGATAACTGCTTTGGATAAAGGTTGTGACAATATACTATAAAAACGCCAACAACTAATAAATTAATTCTAAACATATGTTTCAAAGCCTCTCTCCCAGCCAGCTTTTTAGGAATAAGGCATGTTGACTTAGCACCTTAAAATGATTTCAAAAATATCCTTACGGAGCATAGCAATATTAATAAGATAGTAGTCTTATCCCATGATAAGACGGAAAACGATATTACAATAAAATGAAATTACTACTATAATAATAATATAGGTACCTATTTTTAATTAATAGCTGTACACAGATTCATATTTATGTGCCTTGTGGTCACATTGTAGCTACATGTTGCTCAATCTTTCTTTGCTATCAGAAAAAATTAGGCACATAATAAATTAAAATCGGTTTACAAAAGATAGTCTGGAAAATCAAACATCTAACGCCATCTTTTTTCTGTGTTAGATACTAAAAGAACTACGTTGATAGTATTGAGATAGAGATGGCAGTAGTTTTTTAAACTATTATTTTTAACCAGAACAATATAATTCTAGGTCATTATGTTGTTCTCAACTATAAATTAGACTGGCTTATCTTGATTAATAATACATTTATAATTTATTTACTAACCAGATTTTTTAGTCATAATAGCATTAAAACTAGTGCTGTACTG